AGGCATTTTTTATAAAAACGATCTCATTTGCCTTTAGAAAATGGAGTTGGGCGGACTTCGCAAATACCTTGCTCTATATGAGTTGATATTGTGGTGGTACGGTGAGTGTAATATCTGGATCGAACACACAACTCACTTGATTTTTGTAAGGAGACAGTGATATAGGAATAATATGAAACCACAATAATTGTGATCAAATCATAAGAAAAGCGATCTACTAAGCAAAGGCCGTCCAATGTGCTTTCCCGTGGGGTCTCATTCACGGGGCGGATTTTCGATGAAAACAGCAAGTGCGAGACCCTCAAGTAAAAACTCTTACCGCAGAGTGTGAAGAGACTTTTAAATCTGAAGATCATAAAATGGTTTTAATAAAAAAAAACTTTTTACCCAACATTAAAATCAACCAAAGCTCGTTCCAATTTTTCTTTTGCCTTACAGCAGAGACAATATCGACTATGCAGGGAGTAGGGGCGCCGCCAGCCTATGCTGCCTCATATGCGCCATCTTGGATACCAGTGCCTCCGAACAAAGTTCAATGTACAGACCATGCGACGACTTCCATCCTCGTGCTGTGACTACATCAACGCACTCAGATATGATACTCAGTTCGTCGAGCTCACTATAGTCTTAACATTATGACACATCTAAGATAGTATAGTCATATATATGGCTAGGAAGCCTAAAGTGTATTAAACATAAAGCCATGGACCTTTGTAATATGGCAACCATTACTAGGACTAAGTTACAAATATACAGCTACATGTAAAAGACTCTAGGCCCATTGTTTGGATCATGTTAATTTAGCCTATCTGTGCAATCTGTTCTTCTATTAGGGATGTCCATGTGCGCTTCATGATTCCCGATAAGGCTCCGTTGGCTTTTTCCGAGGAGGCAAACACACACATGCATGAACCCTCGTCGTGGCTGGTTCTTGAGAAAGCCGAGTTGAGTCTCTCGAAGATCTATCTTTATTGCTCCATAAATTCTGTTTGCTGTAATCTCTTCCTTTCAAGTGCAACTAGAAATATATAGATAGATTTTTATGAGAGTCATATTAAATGGAAAGTTCTCTGGGATTCTATGTGATAAAGAAGATTATTAGAGGTACGCGGTGATATGAGATAGAGTATGCGAATAATCTCTCATAGCCATAAAGTGCTTCTCACCTTTGTAGTTACAAAACCTAGTCATTTTCTCAGAAGTAAAATGCTTGCTAATTTTTATGCTTGTTTGGAGTAGCGTGCTATATTGAGTTATAATAAAATCAAGGTGAACAATTATCACACATTATAAATAACATGTTTACTAGGATCATGTTTTATTGGTTCATAAAAGTGGTTATACGCAGACCTTTCAAGTAATTTGAATCGGACTGAGTGTTATAAAAGAGATTCTTTCGATAGGACACGAGGTTCTTTTTTGTATTTCACCTTAGCTACAATAGAATTCTCTTCACTAAGTTATCAGTTAGCTACAATAGAATTCTCTTCAACTAGTTACATCTTTTCCTCCTTTCTCTTCAATTAATGGCTCTAATTTAATTTATCATTGATCAAAAATAAACTTTCCCTTTTCTTTTTTCTAACAAAAGATTATCAGCTAGTACTTGTTGTGAATCAAGAGGTGATAAGATTATTTTTCTGCCATCCTTCGTTAAAGAATAAGTTCCTTTCATTATCATGATTAGCAGACCTGTCAACATGCCATGGTCTTCCTAGGAGCAGTGACTAGAACTCATTAGAGCCACATCACATAATATCTCATCTTTGCACCTTCCCATTAAAAATGGAACAAGAACTTATGTAGTCACTCTTATCTCACTACCTTCGTTTAGCCACTGAATCTTGTATGGATTAGGCTGTACAGTAGTAGATAATCATAGTTTTTCTACAAAGTATGTGGAAGCTATATTGACACACCTATCTTCATCGATAATAATTCTATCAATTTTATCACTAGTTACTGAGAATGTAGTGTGGAAAATCCTCACCTTCTGCTCATCATTATTATTTCCATAAGCATTAGGAACATGCCTTGGTTACCTCCTTTGCAGGTTATCAATAAGTACATCTTGTCTTTCCATTCTATCTCTTTCAAACATCACAATCATTTGCTCAAACCATTGTTGTATATCTTGAAGAATAGAAAATTCTTCTTGTTTCATTACGTCACTACTTTTGTTAAACATGATGATAAATGGACAAGAAATATAGCAACAACTATTTTCGATTTCAACAAAGAATAAGAATAAGATGATTTAACATGAAAATAAATAAACTGGAAGCAAATGGAAATAAACGAAAGAAAATAGAAACAAACGAGAACAAACAAAAATGCAACAACTATTTTCGATTTCAACAAAGAATAAGAATAAGATGATTTAACATGAAAATAAATAAACTGGAAGCAAATGGAAATAAACGAAAGAAAATAGAAACAAACGAGAACAAACAAAAATAAATAGAATCAAACAGAAATAAACGGAATCAAATGAAATAAAACAAAAATAAACGGAAGTAAAACGAAAACAAACAGAAGCAAAATGGAATCAAATAGATGATAGAGATATACTATTAACCATGCAAATCTAATAGTATAATGTTTTTTTTCTTTGAATAATTATTTCTATGTATTTAATTGGAGATTTGCATTAAATGAAAAAATTTTTTTAGCATATTTTATAATAATAGTGTTAGTACATTTTGTATATATCTAACTGGACCAAGTAGAGAATGGTTATTTTATATTGACTATTAAAACATATTCTCGAGGAGATTAGAAATAAGATTTATGTTCTTAACCTTGATTTAATTAATATGAGAAAACATACATTGTTTTGTGCTTTTTAATTCATTAAAGAGTGATTTTCATTTATCGAGATAATAATTCTCAATGAATTGGTCAAAGGCAACTTGTATTCGTGAAATATGAATTAATGATAGAATTCATGTCTCAGTTTAGAAAATGATGATGCACTTTATGTAAGCTTATAAGTTTTCATTGTGTAAACCCTGCTGGTAGATTTTTAATCCAACACATAAAATAAGTTAAGCAATGATCTTAAAAATTAAAACTGTTATTTAAATAAATTGTCAGTGATTTATTTTATTTTATAAGCATATGTAATCTTTACATGGAGAACATAAATTATTATCTCATGGAAAGTTAAATTAATAAGGAGTTCAATCATGAATTTTAGTGCAATAATTTATAATTAATTATAATAAGAATATACCGGTCCTATATGGATTCTTATTATAATTTGTAGCCTTATTAATTTATTCCTGCGGTCCTTGTTGTGGTTTAATTATTTGGACCGTACGTGGGTTATGTATTTTAAATAATTAATAGATTAATTTTTAATAAAAATTTTATTTATTAATTTCAATTAAAAGACGGATAATCTGTTTTATTTAAAATATTAACCGCGTGGGTAACAAAATGATTAATCTTATCGTTTGTTTGCCATTCGAATAAGAGAAGTTATTCATTTTTGAATACGCGCTTGAGATATGAGAGTATTCAGAGAAAAATACACGACGACCTCAAGAATCAGACATATTGTATTTTTCTGCCAACGCAGAAAAATAGAATTTATAGAATCAAATAAGATCACACAGCAGAAGACTGTAGGGTAACTTGAAGAATTATAAAATAAGACCAGCAAGTGATTCTGCACTACAACAAGTCAGTTCTTGTATGATTTGTGGTTTTTGTTTGCTTTCATACTTTCGATCCTAGATTGCTTCTGCTGCATAATTCCAGGCTTCCATCAACAAAATCAAACAGAAGCAAAACAAAAACAAACTGAATCAACTGAAAGCAAAATGGAAATAAACGGAATCAAAATAAAGATAGATAGAACCTGATTTGAGTCAAGGCTCTGATACCAAATGATGCGAAACCCCAAGATTGGCATCTTGACACCCCAAATCAGATTTGATATGTAAACCCCAAATCCCAAATTAAGAACCCTAATTCCCAAATTACAAATTTTTTCTTGGATGGAATTGTGGATCTTGATCTAATACTCAACTAGAAGTATGAACCAAAGATATCAAGGTGAAAAGATGAACGCCACAAAGATTAATTATCTTTGATAAGTTTGAAAACAAGTTAAATGAAAAACCAAAGAGAATACGCTTCTCTTAACATAAACGCATCAACTGAAAATTCTATCAATAATATGTCTTACAATACTGAAAACTAAATATTTATAAGCTAAGAAACCCTAAAAATTAAATAAAACATAAAGCTCAATTTAAACATGTCCAATTACGCTAATTAAAATATAAAATTAATTAAAAGACTCAAGACCCACATGTTTGGATCATGGTAATTAGCTTTGGATCTTCTTTTAGGTCCATCCCATCATGATCACCATAAGTTCGTTGTTTTTCCATTATTCAACACATACCACTCGGTCTAGGCAATTCAATCCCATCAAGATAGTTTAATGCCTCTTAAGTATGAGAATACTTGAGTTAAAAAAAAAAAAAAAAAAAAAAAAAAAAAAAAAAAAAAAAAAAAACATGTCCAAATTACGCTATTAAAATCCATAAAATTAATTAAAAGAACTGCAAGACCCCACAATGTTTGGAATCATGGTAATTAGTTTGGATCTTCTTTTATGGTCCATCCATCATGGATCAACGCATAAGTTCGTTTGTTTTGGCCATTAATATCAAGCACAGTACCACTCGGTCTAACCAAATCGGATTGCGGAACCATCAAGATAGTTTTAATGCCTCTTTAAGTTATGCGAAGAATACTTGAGTTTTAAAAAAAAAAGGAAAAAAAAAAAAAAAAAAAAAAAAAGACAGTCAAGGAAAAAAGAAAAAGTGAATGAGAGTGTGTGGGACCTATAAACCACACAGAAAGTCATAAAAAGTTTTTTGCTAGATCTGGGTTTCAAAAAAAAAAAAAAAAAAAAAAAAAAAAAAAAAAAAAAAAAAAGAAGAAGGAAAAAAAAAAAGGAAGAAGAGTGGGGGACTATAAAGCACACAGAAAGCAAAAAATTTTTGCTAGATCTGGTTTCATTGCATGAACAGAAACAAGAATTGGTACAAAGAATCGGTACAATTACATATCCATATAGCTTTCCTTTTGCCTGATATGAATTTATTAAACAAATCCAAATCTTACTTATTTTCCTTTTCGCATTGTGCTAATGAACGTTATTACAAAGTCATGCACTTTGATCTCCAAAGGGATGACCACCACTCACACCCTCATCTGGGATGTACTGTCCCCAAAACCAATGTGCCTTCCATAACCTATTCATTTCTTCAATGGGTACATTTTTTGTCTCAGGCAAGAAGAAGAACACGAAAAGAGTCATAAGAATGACAAAGCCAGCAAAGAATAAGAAGAGCCCAAACTTCATGTGGCAAAGCATGGATAAAAAGAATTGGCCAATCACAAATGTGAAAAACATGTTAACACAGACATTGATGGCTTGGCCTGCTGATCGAATTTCGAGAGAGCATATCTCACTAGGCACCAACCATCCTAATGGACCCCAGGACCATGCAAAAGCTGCTACATAAAGACAAATCAAGGACAACACAAAGTTCGCTTCACCACCTGACAATTTGCCTACACCAGTAGTTCCAAAGGTGGTTGCGATCATGATTCCGACAAGAACCTATACAAACCAGAATGTCAGCTTAAATTTTGTAGAAATAACTCGAAGGTTTCACTTCTGGTGTGTGTTTATATAACATATAAGGATATACCTGGCATATAATCATTTGAGCGCCACCTTGAAGGAACAAAGCTCGTCTCCCAAATTTGTCAGCACAGTATACGGAAACGAGTGTGGCTAAGACATTAACTACACCAGTTATAACTGCGGACATAAGAGAAGCGTCATCGCCAAAACCCAAGGTCTTAAATAAAACAGGAGCATAAAACATGATGACGTTAATTCCAGTAAGTTGTTGGAAGAACGGAACCAAGGTACAAATGACAAGTTGAGGCCTATATTTTGGCTGCATAATGTTCCTCCATGGGTTTTGTACTCTCTTTGCAGCCTCACTTGCTTCAACAAGATCTTGGAATTCATATTCAACATTGTCTGTTCCACGAATCTTTCTCAACATTGCTTTTGCCTTCTCTGGATGGCCTCTCTCTAGAATTGAATTCGGAGTATCAGGTAGAAAGAGAGATCCAACTATTATCATTATAGCTGGGACTGCTGCAAGAGCCAACGAAACTCTCCATCCCCAGCCACCTTTGATTTTTGCTGTTCCATAGTTGATGAGATTGGCAGCCAAAATACCAAGCGTGATGGCCATTTGGAAACCAATATTGAGTGCTCCTCTTAACTGTGCTGGTGCCATTTCAGATAGATAAACTGGCACAGACTGTAATTGAAGATTGCAAATTGTTAGGTTTTATTAATAAGGAAAGAATTCTTATGCGCATGTGAGAGAGAGAGACACTGAGAGAGAGAGAGAGAGAGAGAGAATCATACTTGATTGGCGAAGCCAACACCAACACCAAGTAACAGACGACCAATAATAAGCATCAAAACGTTCATGGCAGCACCAGTAAGGATGGCACCAAGAAGGAAAACCAAGCCTCCCAACAACATGGAGATCTTGCGACCAAAGGCTCTAGTTACCATAGAAGCCAAGAAGGAAGCTACCAATGCTGCAACGTAGAGAGAAGACGTAAAAAGTTGCAGCAAATGGCTCTCAAATTTGCAATACATATTTTCATGATGCGTTTCAGTCTCTTTCTTGTACACAGATGGGAAGAACTTCTCCAAAAATGCGTTCATTGAAGTCACTCCACCTACAAAATTCAGAGCACACTATATTTAATAATGCTGCAATTGCTGTTTGTTGTGAAAGTAACTTGCATAAGACTAGCTTTTACCTGAGATACCAATGTCATATCCGAAAATGAGACCACCCATAGCTGCAACCAAACAGGTCATGATGACAAAGGGTGTGACACCACCTTCATACTTCTTTCCTCCACCTTGAGCAACGAAACCACCTCCCGCCATCTCTGAAACAAACTAGCGGCTGTTTCGAGTTTTCTTGTTTCCTCTCCAAATGTAACAAAAGATTTTATAAAGGCAGTTATAAATTTTCCTTCTTCCTTACATGAATAATGACGATTTGGTTTGTCAAATCTTTGATATTCATCAGGATGAGAAAGAGAAAGAGGAGTGACTCCCTTGGGAATCTTTTGTGTTTTTGACGTTTCAGTGCGTGGATCTTCCATTCGGAGTGGTACTAGTTTTATATGTTTATCCACAACAACTCTATTGCCAAAAATGTCTTAATTCCTATTTTTGCTTTTCTTTGACCTATTTTTTTTGCATAAAACTAGAAAATTTATCATTTTTCTCTGCTGTCGTGTCCTGGATTTCTACGTTAGAATATTTCATACAGCTAAATGCCACAATAATTACTTATTAGCTGGAAATAAGCCTATCCACATCATGGGTTTAAGCAACTTAATTTACAGAAAATCCTATATATACAGTTATTAACTGGAAGATTTCTTTTCATTCTATTCACTGTTGTTTGTAAGAGAAGTATTGTTTTTTTCAATTTGAAAAATAACACATATTCAATATTTTAATTTATAAAATTATATTAATTGAAAATTTTAATTTATAATATAGTTTTGTTTGATCCATCTGTTCAGCCTGAAAAATTAATTTTATTGTTACTTGAGTTTCTAGGTTCGATAAATGTACGCAAGAAGAAAAACCTAACATTTGGTTCAGCCCTTAGAGGAAAACATTTGAATCGAAAATAGGGGCTTGTTTCCGGGAAGTATTCACAAATTTTAGTTTTTTTTTTTTTTTTGAAGGGTACGAATTTTATTTTTTATTTATTTTTAATTCAATGTTCACAAATTATGAACATTTTATGTTTTGACAGCCTCATGTAAAAGGTTTCTTTTTCTTAAAAATTTATTGAAATTGGAAAATTTTTTTAATTTTAAATACATAATTATAATTTTCGAGATTTCTGAATCCATACAATTTCAAATCATTCTTTTATAATGTTATTTTATCTACATAAAATAAGAAATGGTACAGTAATATTCAATACAAATAACGATTGTGTAATTAGATTGTGGATGAAATATTTTTAATTTTTAGAATATACGGGTACCTATTCAATAATTTTAAAGTTTTGATTTTATATAATTAGTTACCTTTTTTTTTTAGATAGAATTATTTTTTTTAAGGAAGAAAAATAATTATGAAAAATATATAAAGAAAGTTATTTTCTTTCCATGATTATATTTAAACACAAAAGTGGAATATAAAAAGAAAATTTTCAATTCAACATTATTTTTCTCTGTTACTTTCCTTTCGTTAATATTTTCATTTTTCCCTTTTTCATATAATTATCATATAAATAAAGTGTAATGAATTTATTGCAATGATTTTTTTAATACATACATTCACCATTAAATTTTATTACTTTAAGTTTGTAACACCGTAAATTTTTATTTTTATTTTTATTCATTAAACGCTTTAACTTATAAAATTATACTATTTAAATATTTAACTTATATAATTATTTTATTAAACACTTCAATTTATAAAATTAGATCAATTAAACACTTAATAAATAATAAAAAAGGTAACCCATGCTAAATATTCTATAATTTACGGCTCGTAACAACTGCACTTTATTTTGAACTTAACTTTTCGTGCACCTCAATTTTAAACCTTTATAAAAATTGTACCCTAATTACGAACTCATCAAAATATCATAAATGTGGGACCCACGTGGGACACTAACCCAACTTAAGGTTAGCTTGACCCTGATTCTTCTTAGCACGCCATTTCCAATCTGCCTCTCTCTCTCTCTCTCGCCTCCTTCTCCTTCAACACCGCCACCGCCACCGCCACCGCCACCTGCACCAGTAGCTAGTTCCCTTCCTCCCAAAACCAAGGAAAGACCGTTTTTCATACAGTTTTTCATACTAATATGCTTGTTCCACATGAGATGAAGAAATTTCTTTGGATTCGGTTCCATCTCCAGTAAAGGTACCCTAAATCAGGTCTTCAAAAAAAGAAGAATTGGCCTTATTTGTTCTTGGTTTTGGGGAAATGTATTCTACACCTTTAGTTCCAACTATCTGAGCTAAGAACCTGCATACTTCTCAAAAAAACAAAAATTAATTAAAAAAGAAAAGGAATTCAACGATAGCAAGAAAAATGAAAAGAGTAGATTGATTTATGAGATGTAATAATTCCCTAATAAGAGCAAGAACACAAATTCTATAGATAAAAGGCAACTTGATTTCTACTACTGCTCTGTTTTCGTCATGAATAGACAAAGAGAGACAAAACTACTGTTTTTACTATTACACTAGATCTATGAATAAGTTAAAAGGAAAAGATTGATTAGGAGAAAGAGAAATAACTAAAGACCTGTAAAAAATGAAGGGGACAGGCAGAAGAACAAGAGTTGAAATTGCATAAGAATAAACGATGAAAACAAAATAACTCATCCCATTCAAAGAAGCTGCTTTGAATAAAGTGTTTATTCGAACATTTGTGCATTCTACGGACACCACAGCTATAAAAGGAAGCAAATCTTGGTTTTGGGAGGAAGGGAACCAGCTGCTGGTGCAGGTGGCGGCGGCGTTGAAGGAGAGTAGCGAGAGTGAGGCAGATTGGAAACGGTGCGTTTAGAAGAATTAGGGTTGAGCTAAACTATTTTAGGGTAGTTCACCACGGTGGGTTTCACGTGGGTCCCACATTTATTATATTTTAATACTAGGGGATTAAATTCCAAATAGAATGCAAAAGTTATAAGTCGTAAACTTTGAGATATTTGGTATGGTTTAACTAATAAAAAAATGTGAAACTTATTATTTCAAAAGTTATATTAATTACAATTTAAATTAATATTTTGTATATAAAAGTTAAAAATCGTAAAAAACTACTGTTAATGTAAAAACTTTTGCAATGTTATCAAAATTTGGAAGTTCAAGTACTTTGCATTTACATAGTTCAAGGTACTACGTGATTAAAGTTGTAAAATTTAGAGATAAATTTATGTATTTGACTTTTTTAAATTCATTAAGAGTAAAAAGTTCAAATATATATAATAATGAATAAATTAGATGTGATTGTATCCATGGTTTGCAGATATTTATATATTATTTGAATGATTATTTCTATATTTATTCCACTAAATATGGCCCTTTTGTAGTTTGCACAAGAATTGCAAAATAATTAATCCATCTCAATTAAAAAAAATTAAACTAAGTGTAACTAACTAAATTACTCTTCTACCAATTCTTTAAATAATTAATATTTACTTACTAGAAATACTAAGCCTTCGTTTATTTTCGTAAAATAACTTGCAGAAAAATATTTTCATAGAAAACATTTTTCTTGAAAAATATTTTCCAAATGACTTATCTTCCATTGTTTGGCTATAATATTAAAAATTAGTTAAAAATATTAAAGTCTTTACTCTTCTACCATCTCTTTAATATTAATATTTACTTACCTAGAATATACTAAGCCTTTCGTTTATGTTTCGTAAAATAACTTGCAGAAATATTTCATAGAAACATTTTTCTTGAAAAGAATATTTTCCAAATGACTTATTTCCATTGTTTTGGCTATAAATATTAAAATTAGTTAAAAATATTAAGTCTTGTAATCTCATAAGACCATAAAGAATATAATAATAATCAAAATTTTATAAATTTAAAAAAAGTTTATTGTTAAATACGAAAAGGGAATGCAAAATATATATATATACTATATATATATATATAAATTATGAAAGCCATCGGTGGCCGCTAGTGGCTGATGATGATAGCTAGTGGTGGTGGTCGATGGTAAATTGTTACCAGTAGTAGTGACTATAATGATTATTAAATTAAAAAATATGAATTTATAAGATTTATCAATGCCCGAAAAATATTTTACTCTCTCGAAAATAGAAAGTTATTTTTCTTAAAAAATGACTTAATTTTTCTTTAACTTATTTTTCTGAACACCCCAAACAACGGAAAATTATGGAAAACATTTTCCTATCAGTGTCACGACCCGTTTCCATGAGCCGGACCGGCACTAAGGCCCAGGTAAGCTTAAGGCCCCCGAGGCCCGTAGTAAGCCTGAAACACTAAAATTTACTATCTCAATATAATTTCAAATATTAAGCCTGAAACACTAAAATTTACTATCTCAATATAATTTCAAATATTCAGCCCATATTACTAAAAAAATAAACATCAAGATTTTATTACATCTCGGCCCAAATTTATCTTCTACAATATTTCACAATGCGGGCCCAATTTACAATACATCACATTTCTAATATGGGCTCACAGAATCATTTCGTCTATGATAATACACGACTAAATGTAAGTGAATTCCACAACTGTGAAATCACTAACTGATAGATATACATAGATTTTTATACATATAGATACATAGCAAAATAATTATTGAACCAGGGAAATTTTCTTTCTAGCCCTGCGGCTAAGGAACATAGCTTAACCGAATTAAAGAGAAACTTACTTCTTGAAAAATTAAACAAGATAGGTGAGCTTTCTAAGGAGTAACTATTATTGCACAACACACACATTCATTCACGCCAAATGTGTAAATATATAAATCTAGCCATCCGAACTACGTTATTATGCTCATTGCAGTCAGTCACACAAATGCATATCACCAGCACTCACAATCTACATCTTCGGTATAATCATATCACGTTGGAACATTAGTCAAGTGGCGTCACCGGAAACCCACGATGAGCCGAATACTCTCACTGGCTACATACTCCTCTCAAACTGTGTGCACCCCGGAGCCAATCCCCCATAACTGGGCCAGGACTGGTCTAATCTCACATGACCGCGTCCTCTCCATTGTTTTACCCATTTCTCTCTTTTCTTTCATACCAAAAAGGGAGGCAACCCAGGTGACGGTCTCCAATCCATCTACGTCATTCAGGGTGCTCATAACAGGACGGCCCACCCCTCCGGGTGCGATCAAAAATCTAGCTCATCAGCAGTGCGCAACGCGAAGAGGCCATCTCTTGGTTTCCTTATATAATCCATGGAATATTAGGTGCACACGGGACACCCGATCTCCCATTTTCCGAGCCGACGCGCTCCAATTTACTATAATTCATCGTAATCAAGGGATCCTATGCTTTATCGATCCGTTCCTCACAAAACCAGTGGTGACCCACTTCATCCAATTCCCCACACAAAGCAAAGCATAGCAGGGTTATCAAACACACATTAATCAGTATGTTGCAATTAAATGCAGACACTACTGATCAGTTAAATATGTCGTTACATCACTACAAAAAAAATGCTAAATTGCGAGCGATTGTTGCGACCGACATAATATGGGTCGCAAGTTTAGCGACCGAATTTCTGCGACTATATAAATGCCCATCGGTCGCAAATTTTGGCGCTTAACATCTCCCGCCGATGTCATGCGTTAGTTGATTTGCGACCGCATTTGTAATAGGATTTGCGAGACCGATTTTGCGACCGATCCTACGCTGACTAAATTGCGCTCTCTATCCGGTCGCAAAATATTCGAGCGCGTTAAAAATGGGGCAAAAGTTCATCGGGGGACCAGACTTTGGAGCGACAACAAATTGCGACTTCGATTTTTTTGCGACCGATATTTTCCAGTCGCAAATCCAGTCGCAAATTTGCGCATAATCAACGACGTCGTGTTCATTAAAGAATCGACCGATTTATATCAAAACTTTCGCGAACCGATGAGCTCGGGTCGCCACAATATTAGGGCTTAAACGCCGCGCTTCTCGCTTTTTTCTTTCGTTTTCTTTCTCTCTTTCTCCTTCGTCCTCTTCCTCTCCTCCGTCCGCAGCCGCCGACCAGCCCTTCCTTCACACCGTTCAGCCCGCTTGACGCGCCACGCCCCGCCCCCCTTTGCACTCCGGTCAGCTCGCCGCTCAGTCTGTTTCGACAACAATCTGAGGTTAGTTTTATTTTGCGCATTAATTTTTCCAACAGTTTTTTTTTTCCGATTTTATTTTGTTTTTCGAATATTTGTTATATTCATTATAATTCAAGTTATTGTATGATTTCTGTAAATATTTGTTAGAATTTTGTATATTGGTTTGGATCTAATTTTATTTTGCTATAATGGTTGAGTTCGCGATTAAATACGGTATTATTGTTCGTAATTATTGTTATTATTACTATAATTATTGGTATTATTTGTTGTTGTTGTTGTTTTATATATTATTCAATTATTACTTATTCCATTATTAATTATTGTGATTGTTATTATTATTATTATTATTATATATTAATATTATTATTATTCGTTTATTATTATTAATTATTACTGCTGTTCTTATTATTATTATTATAATATTTATTATTTTATTCATTATTATTATTATTGTTATTATTATAATTATTTACATTGCTGTTGTTTATTGATTACATTATTATTAATTATATATTCTTATTATTCTACTGCTTATTTATCTCAGTACCGATACCTATTTATTACTTATTAGTATTATTACGTTGATTGATTATTACTATATTGTTATATTATTTCAATTATTATTATTATTGTGATTGTTATCTATTATTATTATTAGTAGTAGTTATATTTAGAATATTATTAGATATTATTGTATGTTCGTTATTCATATTATTACTTTAATGTTTTTATTATTATTATTGTGATTGTTTTATTATTATTATTAATTATTCGTATTATTTGTTGTTGTATATTTTATATAATTAGTATAACTTGCTTACCTTAAGCGATTGTGATTTGGACAATTCTGGCAATTTATCTAATTAGCATAGCCGTTGTTTGCGGAATAAAAATTAAGAAGAACAACATTTAGAATAAGTAAAAGCATATGAATATTGAAAATATGGAATTCAACGTGCATTATCACCGTATTATTATATTATTTCTCTGAAAATTTAATATAAATCATTTTACACAATGAATGATATCAAAATATTAAATATCCATTCAATTTTTATTATTTTTTACTTGTTATATCTTTTTTTAACTAATAAAAAAAACTAGCTAATTTTGATTTTCAGGTGGTAACTTCCAATTAAACGCACTTAATTGTACCAAAATACTATTTCACGCTTAATTATACATATTTTCACTAGTATTGACACAACTAGTTTGATGTATGATACCATTAGAATCTAAATAGGTACGAAAATTTGCATTCATGTATTTAGTACCATTATCAGTTCTTAGGATTTTAATATGCGCATCAAACTGAGCAAAAATCATCTTATGGAAGTTCTGAAAACCCGAAAAAACTTCATTTTTTTCTGAAAACCCGAAAAAACTTCATTTTTTCCTTTCATCAAATAAACCCAAGTCAATCTAGTGCAACAATCAATAAAGGTCACAAACCATCTATAACCAGAAAGAGAACAGTTTTAGTAGGAACCCATACATCAGAATAAATAGTAGCAAAAGGTACCAAACTTTTCTTATTAATTGAAGAATAAGAATGCCTAGTGTGTTTGGCAAGTTCACAAACATCACATACTAATAAATCAAAATCAAAAATGATAGCAATTGATTGAGACTTAACTTACTAAGGCAACAATCCAAAACCACGTGTTTCTGACTTATGTTCTTTAATCACTCTTCAAAAATATAGATAAAAAATA